AATATTTTAGAAATCTTATGTTAGGATGATTGTGTTCGTGTTGAGCTTGCACTTTGAAAGGGGGGATGATAATATATTATTCCTAGCTATGCGACAGATTTCCTAAACTTTATATCTATGCATTAATTGATTCTTACAGTAACACCTATGAAGTGAATATTATTATTATTCCATCACACTGAAGGAGAGAGAGGTGTGTGAGTTGCTAGTAACTAGTTCAGCTGTGCTTAGGAACAAGGCACTAGTACTTTTATCTCTTAAGAGAAATACTCTTTCAGAAAATGTTCCTCAAAAATTCTCAGATTAGGATCAGCCCTTTTCTGATCCTAATGCTTTCCTCTTGAGTAGTTTACTATGGGCAACAGTGTGTGCTACTGGTTTATTACAATGAGATTCAAGGTCCCTGCGCCTGCACATACCTATTTATGTGATGAGGTGCTTTTGTGTACTCCTTCCTCACATCTCACAAAATAAGACAGATGAATTCAACAGGAAAATAAGTTGAAGCTGTTTCTTTTAGGTCTTGTGTATATCCACAGGGTGAGTACATCAGGTCTTCTGCACATGGTCACTAACATAATTCTTTCTGGATTTTGCTCTCAATCAAATTTTATTTTCAGGAAATCTTAGAATCTTAGACCTAGGATCTGCCTTAAAATTGTAGTTAAACTCCATTTTTTTCTGGTTGCTAGAAAAAAACTGCTTCCGAAGTTCGAGTGGCATTCTCAACATCGTAGAGATTTTGCGGCTGAGCAGCAACGTGAGCCTGAGCTGGACATTGTTCAGCATCCTTTATAGCTGTCTCTCAAACTGAGTGTGAACAAGCACCCACACAGTACTCCACAGTTCTTAAAATTCAACTTCCTGAGAAGATTTTGGAAACATTAAAATATATAATTAGATGTATGTACATGTGGGCAACACTTACAGTTGTAAAAATACAATAAAATCCTTCAAATAATGATTTTATTTCATTATTTGAGATATTTCCTTATTCTGCTTTTTTAAACATTATTATCTTTTCAGTTATGTGCTCTTACTGAATAAGGATAGTCTGGAAATTATCTATTTCCATACTTTCTAACAGTCTAGTGACATCCTGTTGTACTCCCCTGCACTCTTCCTCTGCCTTTGGCCTCCTGATCCCTCAGGTATTTCTTTTGTTCTTTGCTACATAACCTGCACCTTTTCCCCCAGGAAAGGCTAACATATCTTACTGCTCTGGAGAAGAGTTTTCAATAAAATACCACTTGAAGGAATTTATTTATGAACACTTTTCTCTTTTTATAGCATATTCAATCTACTTATTAGTAGCTATATAGCCCATAACAATGTGGTGGTATCCTCAGAAGAAAAACAGGACTGATATTTTTCTTTTACAGCTTTTTTTTCCTGTTTCAATATAACTTTTTCTTGTCTTGATTTCCCTCATCTTTCAGTTTCATCTTAATCCTTCTTCCTGGTGTTATTGAAGGACATGCAGCTTTTCTCCCACTTGTGAGTTTTGCGGTTACAGAGTAGCTGGGAGCCAGGCTGTAGTGACTCACGCCTATACTTCTAGCTACCTATGAGGGAGAGATCTGGAGGATTGCAGCTTGAGGACATCCCTGGCAGGGGATTTTTGAGAACCCCATCTCAACCCATAGCTTGCTGTGGTGGTGCAAGTCTGTCATCCCAAGCTATGCAGGAAGCTGGAATCAGGCCACCTGGGTGTAAAAACGTAGAAAAGTTTGTGAGACTTCAGTGCAAAAAAGCTGGGCATGGTAGTGTGCACCTGCCAGCCTGGTGACTGTGGGAAGCATAAAATAGGAGGATGGTGGTGTCTGTCTCCTTGGGCAAAAATGAGAACTTATCTCCAAACTAACTGTAGCAAAAGGGATAGAAGTAGTGGAGCACCTGCATTGTAGGGTAAAACCCTGAGTTCAAACCAAGACAACAGTGTCTGGCATTGTGACTTTTACCTTGAGGGACAATGGCTTATTTGTTCACATTTCATTTAAGGGAAGCAAATAGACATTGGTTACAGATTATAGCTGATTTTTATAAAATCTCTTGTATGAGTATAACCTAATACCTTTTGAGTCATTTAATCTTTCACTATTTTAGTTTCTTTGTGTGTTCTTAGTCTCCTCATATTCTCTGTGTCATTATTCTGGATGTATTTTACATTGTTAGTGAGGAATAATTTCTGCACAGATTCTTATTTTTCCCCAAAGCATTGGTTCCCTTGAGGAAAATTTATAGTTCACTCACTGTGAGGAGGGTCTTTGTACTCCTAGGCATTTTTATAGGCATCCTCTAGATACTACTTCCCTGCAACTAAGTAAAGAATGAGAAATAACTAGGTGTTGCTAGGAGATTAGCAAGCCTGAGTCTAGAAATGTGGAAGCAAGTGGTGGGTGTGGGTTGAAGTAAAACTACCTTAAACCAACCTCTCTAGTTATTTTAGAGTAAGCACTTGTTTGGAATAGCCAAACAAAAATGGAAACTTTGGAAAGAAATATGCTAGCTCAGACTTCATGTATTCCTCACAAACATAATCCCTTGCTCTGGGTTTTATAGACACAGTTCCTAGCCTTTCTTAGAATGTAACAGGACATAATTAAGTGTTTGGTAGATTCTGTCAAATTGTATTAAGGACTTGGAATGCTGCTGGATGAGCCTCATTTTAGACACAGAAGATATAAAACCTTCTCTTAATTGCCATTATGTAGCTCACATTCCACCTGTCTTTGGTGGTATGACAATAGCAACACACAATCCATGATTAAATACTTCCAGTTGTGTCTCCTAAATATTTTCTAAACAAACTGTTTATTTCTCTAATAGCTATTGGTATATCTTTAGTTAAGCCTCACTTTTTTTGCAATCTTGTCTACTTCAGTTTTATTCACATAGCATCAGATTAAGATATTATTAAGTTATAATTTTATTAAACAATCCCATGGAATTTTATTCTAAAATGTATTGAAAATATTAAAATCCAATTTTCTTATTGTGTGCCATATTACTTGATATTTGGCAACCTCTTTATACTGTTTTGTGCCTTGAACAGTTGCCAGTCTTCTACAGTTATTGGATACTTTTCCCTGCAACAGGCCTTTTCACTTACTGTTCCCTATCCCTAAACACTTATCTAAAATGCTTCATCACCACAACCTATTGCATTCATCTCTGTCATGATTTCCTTGACATGACACTGTTTTCTTGTCACATATGGTCATGATTTTATTTTACTTATTACTTTTGTCTGTTCTGTATTTCTAGTACAGAAGTTCAGTGAGGTAGGTGGTGTCTGAGTCTTCGTTGTTCACTGGTGCAGTCTTCGCAGTTAGTACAGAGTAGTTACTCACTAAATATCTGTTGAACAAGCAAACAAGTTATAAAAGTGACGTAAAGTTATTTATTTTGGAAGAGAGCTTTAAATATCATGCATTGAGCCTCTTGTGACATGTGTTAAGTGAAAAATGCTGGCCGGGATCAGAATCTTCTGTTTTGTGAGAAGGCAGTAGAACTTCTGGAATATTAGGAATTAGGAATATTTGTTTATCCAGATAAACAAATCTCAAGAAGGCTGAGAGTTTAATGCTGGTAGATTTATTTGTTTATTATAAAAATATTTCTACACTGAATTTTAGATTTCCCTATCTTACTATACAATTATTAAGTCACTGAGGCCATATTGGGTGTGTCATGACCATAGAGACTTAGTCCTCTTCTACACTGTCACACTACTGAGATTTCTGGACACTTTTGTTTTCCTGCTGTTAGATTTCTGGAGCACACTGATCTTTTCTTTGTGTGTCTACTTGTATTAAGCCATCTTCTCATAACTCAATGATCCTGTAGCATATTAGGAATCACATGTGTATTTGCTAAAATTTGTAGAAATTTAATCATTAGGTTCCAAGGAACAAACGTTGGACATCCTTATTTGATAGTATGCATAGTGTTCATAAGTACCCGTGACATTATTTGGCTTTATAAAACTTCAACTTTCTTTCTCTAAGCAACATTGAAAAGATGCACCATGATATAAGAAATACTTACTTTGGAATGCCAAAGTGAATGATTATCTCATTTTTGGGGGCAGAATCTTGCTGCATAGCCCAGGCTGGCCTTGAATTCCTGATCCTGTCTCAGTCTCCAAAGAGCTCAGATTGTAGGTACGTACTACCATCACACTTGGCTCAATTATTTCATTTTTATTTGATAGAATTTCTTTGATCTAGTAGTGTCAGGTTTAACAGTGGGCCTTAAGCAAAAATTTAAAAATAATCATTTTCCCATTTTCTTCAAGACAATCCCACATTGCTGTCTATTGTGGTTATTTATTACAAAGGGTTTAGCAGTAAGGTTTTGCTTATTCCCACACATGAAAACCTGGGATTGCTTGTACAATTTTTTTTCTTTTGCGATAATGGGCTTTGAACTCAGTGCCTACACCTTGAGCCACACTACTGTCCTTTTTTGTGATGGGTTTCTTCAAAATAGGATCTCTCAAACTATTTGCCCAGGCTGGCTTCGAACTCCAATCATCCTGATCTCTGCCTCCTGAGTAGATAGGATTATAGACATGAGCCACTGGAGTCTGGTTATAAATTAGAATTTTAAAAAGCTGACAGACCAATATGTGTGATATTAGGACAAGTGCTATATTTGTGAACAAATTGGCAGGATTTATCAATAAAAAAGATGTAGAAGGAAAGGCTGCCTTTCCAGTTACCAGTCAAATTTGGCTAGACTTAGAAGTAGGTGCACATATTGTTTAATAAGTTAGATATATGAAGGAAAGATTAGTGGTGAGTTTCATAAAACAAAAGGATTTTATAACATTTACAGCTGATATTTGACTTTCAAATATGGGATACATTTATTATGATCTCAATATTTCTAATTTATAAGATCATCATTTACTTGGTTTTTCTAAATATAAAATGAGGGAAACAAGTGTATCCTAATGCAATCTCCTAATGACAGGAAACTTATGGAAATTTTGAAAACAGTGGTATAATTCTAGTTGTATGCTATTTGGAATAATTATAATTTCTTTATTTTTATAGCCATATTGTGAAAAATTAATTGAAGAAATGGAGCCTGATAATTACACAAGGGTGACAGAATTTGTTCTTACTGGCCTGTCCCAGACTCGGGAGGTACAATTAGTCCTATTTGCTATATTTTTATCCTTCTATTTGTTCATTCTTCCAGGAAACATCCTTATCATTTGCACCATCAGGCTTGACCCTCATCTGACTAATCCTATGTATTTCTTGCTGGCTAATCTGGCCTTTCTTGACATTTGGTACTCCTCTATCACAGCCCCTAAGATGCTTGTAGACTTTTTTGCAGAAAGGAAGATAATTTCTTTTGGGGGATGCATTGCACAGCTTTTCTTCTTGCACTTTGTTGGGGCCTCAGAGATGTTCCTGCTCACAGTGATGGCCTTTGACCGCTATGCTGCTATCTGTCGCCCCCTCCACTATGCTACCATCATGAATCAACATCTCTGCTTCATCCTGGTTGCTCTTTCCTGGATGGGAGGCTTCATTCACTCTATAATACAAGTGGCTCTCATTGTACGGCTTCCATTCTGTGGGCCCAATGAGTTAGACAGTTATTTCTGTGACATCACACAGGTTGTCCGGATTGCCTGTGCCAACACATTCCCAGAAGAGTTAGTGATGATTTTTAGCAGCGGTTTGATCTCCGTGGTGTGTTTCATTGCTCTGTTAATGTCCTATGCTTTCCTTCTGGCCATGCTCAAGAAACACTCAGGCTCAGGTGAGAGCACAAATAGGGCCATATCCACCTGTTACTCCCACATCATCATAGTGGTGCTAATGTTTGGGCCATCCATCTACATTTATGCTCGCCCATTTGACTCCTTTTCCCTAGATAAAGTGGTGTCTGTGTTTCATACTGTGATATTCCCTTTACTTAATCCCATCATCTATACATTGAGAAACAAGGAAGTAAAGACAGCTATGGGGAAGTTGCTCAACAGACATAATTTATGTAAAGAGAAGTGAAAGTTAAACTCTATAGTCCTTCTGAAGATCGTTGTCTTAAAGTAGGAAGCATTTGCAGTGTAACAATGCTGTTTTCACTTCCTTCTTTCATCTGAGTTCACTAACTCTCATTATGTTTTTCCTCTACTTTATGATGAGAAAACAAAAATATTGAGATAGAAATAAATTTACTCACACCTACCCTGAAATATTTGACAGATCTGCTAAAACACACATATTCACTAATTGTTTATTGAGTAACTACCCTGGAGAAACTCTGACCCTGAAGAGAATGTGTGCTGAGATTTTTTTGGGAACAGTAAGCTAAATAAGACTTTTGAGACACAACCAGTATGAATATTAAGAAGTGTCAGCATGTGAGTGCTGGGAACTTCTTGTTACCAAATTAGTTATTTTAGCCTTGGCCGAGTAGGAGTATTTGGTAAACCATCTTCCTGAGTCTGGAAAACAGGTTATCTATATTGTCTTTTACCTTCTCCTCTTCCCAGACTTGATGGAAACTGTGGATACATTTACAAGCTATCTCTACTTGTATTTTAGGTGATATCCACTCAACAGTGTTGGTGATAAAACTCAGGATTTTACCATGTTGTGGAAACAATTTTTATGAATTGTAGAATGGAATTTTGTTGCTACTTAAGATTCCTCTCATTTCCAAAGGACCTTCAGCCAACTAGCAGATTCTGTAGCCATCTCTACTTACATCCTTCAGAATGAAAGCAGGCTTGAAGGAAAAGGGCTCTCTCTAGGTTGGATGGGATTCATAGCTATATGATTTTTTAAAAAATGGTCTTTTGTCTGCCACTTTTGTTTGTTTTCTGTCATGCTAATTCTGTCTTTAATGTTAAACTTAAATTAGAAAAGTGCTGCTTTTGTTAGTACTATAATTCAAAGTTATTTCTTTTTCCAGTAAGTCATTTTTAATGTACATGGATGATACCTACCTAGATGGGTTCATTTCCATGACTGCCTAGTGAATTATTTGCTAAGGATTGATTTCCTAATCCCTGACATTAAGAACTCAATTATTGACCATGATCCATAATGTAAAAGGTAGATTAGATACCTTTTAAAACCTGTTTATTTATTGAAATTTATGTTTTAAATCTCAAAATTAGGGGTCTCAGATTCTAAAATCTTTTTTTGGAAACGTGCTTCATACTTGTACATTGTTTCCTCACTATTTCTGCAAAACAATTCTGGAGAAAGGACAGAAATTTTACCTGGGAAGGGATAATCCAGAAGGAAAGGTAATTGATCTAAGGTTCATCTCAATTTAGAGTATCCCTTTGACCTTCACAAGAAAGGTAAGACTGTGTTTTCATTTCCTGTTTGTAAGAGAGGGCATCTCAGCTAAGCTAAAATCAAATACATATTCATCAAATCCCCCTGTTTGGATCACTTATGTTAAAGTGAAAAGTAGCATTTCAAGAGGATTCAACTTGTATTCCAAGGGACATAAGAACCATTCTTAATCCATGAACAATTCCTGCAATGAACTGTAAGCGGCAACCTCTGGCCAGGTTTCCTAAAACTCTTCCAAGGAACTAAAGATTAATTTCCCATGCCATAGAGGCATGAAAGTATAAGCTTTTTAATCTATGACTTATTTCCTGCTAATGATTCTGGTTGTGTCAATAAATTTGTTCACAGCTCTACTTGTGCTAACAAATTGAACATAATTAAACTAATAACATGTCTTGAGTTTCTTCTGGCAGAACTCAGTAGATTTTTTTCAAAAAAGATCTCAGTGGGAAAACAAATAATGTATCATGCAACTTCTGCCACCACAATATAGTTTGTGGAACAAAGATTGAAATGAAAGGATTTTGAAACCGGCTTTTGAAGAATATTCCTATCTGAATAAAGTTTTCTTCAGTTTCTAAAAAAATGGGAGTCATTCCTTAAAAGCACAAGAGCACTCACTTTGTGTGCCATGGGCTTTAGTCTTTTGTTTTATGTGATGTTTTAATATGACTAGACTTTGAGGAAAATAGATTCCTGACAGAATCAGGAATGAATATATGTAAATAAAAATAATTGCAGAGTTACTATTTACATACAGAGATCGATTTCTTGGGGAGATAATTCATGCTAGACATGGCATACCTCAGGTATAAGGATAGAATGATTGTGCATAGTTTGTTTTTTCTTTAGAAAATTTTTCATATGATACATGTCATCTTCAATGCTACATGACTTTTTTTTTAAGGGACACAACAGCACAGACTGGAGTCATGATTCCTGATATTTGAGTTGACTACTCATCACCTGGAAATAAATAAAACAGTCGACTTTTTGTTTTGCAACTGAACATTTTAAGCAATATGTAAAATACAAAAGATATATATGTACATAATAAATGATCCAGATTTTATACTACTTTATTGTCAGTTCTGTGTACCTAACCCAGCCAAATTCTATTCATTACATGATCTATACCTAATCTAACCAAGATTAATATTCTTGGGAAAGAGACCACTGACTTCATATGCTTTTCAAAGATCAGTATGCTGCTGCTACAGGATACTTGCTGAAAATATTGAAGGTAACAATAAAAAGGGAAAAATAGTAGTATGGTGAATAATTTTTCATATATCTAGGATTAGTAACTAATTTTAACAGGGAAGTGGGGAACCCTTGACAAACTGCTGAGCAGTGATTAGCCTGATTCATGGAAGAAATGATTAGAAAAAGGATTGGGGTAATTTTCTGTCCCTGCCAGGGAGCATATTGCAATGCCTGGAGGCATTTTTGGTCATCACGACTGGGGACCAATACTGACATCTTATACTGATAAACATTCTACAAGGGACAGGACTACCCCTATCATGAATTATTCAATTCCAAATGTCACTAGTGCCAAGACTGCGAAACCCCAGCTTAGATATTTCATTTCCCTTTAGAAATAAAATGCTGTAACAGTGCAGATACTATGGAACTTTACCCCATTTCTGTCTACTGGTATGTTGGATGGCTTTACTGAATTTCTCACTAAAAATAAAAATACATGTTGGATAAATATATTTGTGAATATTTTTATAAGTTGTCAAAATTAAGCCCTAAGACTAGACATAATAATGAGTCTAAATATAAAATGACATTGAGAGCCCAGAGAAATAAATGAGCAGAAATAGCTGCATAGAATCTTTTGCTGTGAAGATGTATTTATTTTTCAAGGCCAGAAATGTAGGTAAGGGGAGATGGATAGGTGAGGTCCCAAAAGCTATCTAGTCTTTTGTACATCTTCCATTGTCCACCTGCTCTATAATTTTAAATATTCAATTTTTTACCATAATGATAAAAGTGCTTTTATCTCATATAGACTAGCCAAAAGAAAGGAAAACTAAAATTTGAGAACTTCTACTACCAGTTTTCAGGACTTGTATAAAACTGCAGTAATCAAAAGAATGTGGAATTGATGCAAAGATAGACAAGAGACTGATGGAACCAAATAGGACGTGCAAAGATTCACCCAAAAGGTAAATTTATTTTTGATAAAACACAGCAATATAATTATGTGAGAAAGAGGACAAATGATGTTAGAGGAACTGAATTTTTATTGGAAAGTGACAAACTTGGACCTTTTCATTGCCTGGGCAAAAATTGGTTTGAGCTGGATCATAGATCTAAATGAAGTGAGCAGAATTACAACCTTTCAAGGAGAAAACAGAAAGATATGTTTATTATAAAATTGGGATAGTTAATGATTTCTTAAACATCTTTAAAAGGTATTATTGTAAAATGAATCTCAAAAATTAAAAAAATTACTAACATTAAGATACAGCATTATGAAATTAATAAGCAAACTAATGCATTGAGAGGGAAAACTGTACTCTCTTGCTCTCTCCTTCCTTGTTGAGTAAAAAATATGCAAAAGATTGGAATACACGTTGCAGAAAAATATACAAGGTCATGAGAGTGAAATTAATCAGAGAGGAAATGCTCTACAGCACATAACTGAACATTCAGGCAGAGCACTTTTCCACTACTCTGCAGAATGGGCTGAAATTTCCTCAGTGAAGCCCAGAAGGAACAGAGGAAGTGGTTTGTCGAGTGTCTCTAGGATCACAACCTGGAAATCAGACACTTTTATATGATGACTCAGTTGCTTATCAGCATTGTCAGGACAGTGGATAAGGATCATTCCACACCTCTAAGAGGGAAGTCACTCCTTATCCCCTTTGGAGGGTCCTTTCTGGAAACTTAGGTGCCCCAGGTACTCTGTCCTGGACCCTGGATGCTCTGCGGACATGGAGAAAAATATTGAATGCCTCTAGATATGCAGTCACCAGCACCTGACTCTAGATTCCAACAGCTCTGGAAAGACTCAGCTTTTGGAGCTACACAATTTTGTTTGGAATCCATGGCAACCACTTGGCAATAACGCAACATGAAAGTTTGTGCACAAAGGTGTGGCCTTTTTTTCTGCTTCACCAATGTTGTAAAGGCACCCAGGATTTATTTTAAGTAAGCATAGTAAGACATGCAGTCATGAAAATGACTGTCATGGAGGAAAAAGCTTTTATACTTACAGATCCCTAGAAATAATAGGCATGGCATGTCACACAGAGAGCTATGTGAAGCACCAGAGGTGGCTAGATAATGGGGAGAGAGCAGAAAAATGTGAGAGTGAGCCCTTATCATGGTTTCCACAGGAAAGAATGGGTAAGATGGGTAAAAGTGTTTAGGATTGGCTAATTTGAATAATTTCAGTGGGCTTTGTCCCTTGTTGCTTGGTACCTACCCTGGGGTAATGGGGTAGAGATGAATGGCCTGGAGAGTAATAGGCCATTGAATGCCTGATAAAAGTGGCTGGAATATGAGCTCTGGAGTAGTTGGAGGTGAGGCCTTCACTACCTCTAGACATTGCCTTACCTGGAAAGGGCAATTTCTCTAGTTAGTAAAGGTCCAAGATGTCAGAACATCAGGAATAAAAAATAAAAATAAGCATTCATAAAAGACAGCATTAAATATTGATCAGTTGGTAGGGTAACTTGAACTCTTAGACGTTGCTGTTTGGAATTGAACATGGCTAACTAGAAATTCAGATAGGTGTTAAGTTACACCAACTCTATCATC